ATTATATATATATATATATATATATATATATATAACCATCCCCCGTCCATGTGTGTAGGGCCCTATAGGATCACTATTAAAATTGGCACCGATCTCTATAAAAGTTATCACATGGGTGTGAGGCTTGACTTTTCTATGGATCGGTGCCAAATTTAATGGTGATCATTTGGGGTCCTATACACATCGGTGGGAGAGGATCCTATAGGATCATTTCTCATAAATATATTGCATATATCATTTTTCTATAAAATATATAATATATTAAGGATTTATATACTACGAAACTTTCATTACAAGGAGTTTAGAATTACTTTTAGCCATTAGACGTAAAATTCAATAGATTGAAGAGCATCACAATATTCAATAAATTTTGTTTCAGATTTTGTACCTAATTAATAACACATCCCCAATCATCAAAATTTATATCTAATGATCAATAATGACTACAATCTCCTTACATCAAAAGGTAAGAGTCTCACGGTATACATTTCCATATATTATCTATTTAATTAATTATTTATATTTTGACCCATATTTGACTTAACTCAACCACACACTGTCGGGTCAAGTCAAGATATATGGCCCTATGTTGGCCCGACCCGCAGTACACCGTAAGTGTGCATAGAAAAGTTGGAAGTGTCACCTAACAACTTGCAAAAGGAAAAGAAAATGAGGTATTAAATTATTGAAAGAGGAAAATGCCACTTAACTTTTGTGGAACACAATACACAGACAAAAGACATTGAGAGGAATTGTCTCGAATCACCTTCACTTGTGCGTGGCAAATTCATTAAATTAGCAAAAAGTAGTCCCTTTTAAAAGAAAATTTCAGTCGATTACCTCTTTTTATTTTTTCATAATACTTAAAAGGCCCTGTTTGGTCCCCTAGGGATGCATATCTTATAGAGATACCTCTCCAGGAATTGATATATTCCTTTAAATTAGACACGGTTTATATGAGTCCATGTAGAAATGAGTCATCCCTTATAAATCTATTTTTCAGATGATATTTGGACTTAATTTTTAAATATACGTAATCTCTAATATGAAAATCATGAATATGAAAAATGAATAAATTTAAAAATTTAAAAATAATAATTATGTCAAGAGACCATTAGTTTAAATTATTTTTAGATGGACCACCTATTTGCATTTATCTTCAAGAAGATTGTTTTGTCCTAAAAAATAAATGTTCACAGATCTTGGGATTTGTATATATTTTTAATTTTAAAATTTTACAGTCAGGGTTGATAATTTGATTTTAGAGCTTTGATAGAGATTTCCAATACCTAAAAGGCTTATAGAAGAGAATTCGAAGTGAGACTTGGACTTTATTTTCATAAATCCCAAGCCTTCTACCACTCAAATTAAGACTTTACTTTGTTTTCCCAAAGCGTAGACCTTACAGAGACCACATCATTAAACGTTCTTGCAACGCCATAGACTTTATTCTGTAACTTTCTCTCTCTAGTAGCATTTTATGAAGAAAATGGTTTGATAGGGCTGCAGCACTATAAAAAATAAGTAAAATAATTCATGAAAATTACAATTCAAGTATTAAAAAACTTTTAATTAATCATTTTAAACCTTATGATTGTGAAAATAAAAAAATAAAAAATTTAAAGCGCTAAAGAAAGTATATACTATAAATTTTTTAGATTGTCAATTTTACTCTAAAAATAAATGTTATTAGATCCGCAAGGTTTTGTACTATTTTGTGGAGGATTTGATGTGAGGCTGTATTTTGTTTCCGTAAAACCTAGGCCTTATAGAAACTCATCCTATTTATATAACACGTTATATGAGTATTCGTAGAGAGAGAAAGAGTGGGGTCTAAAGAGAACACAGTCGAAAATCTCCAAGCCTTTGCGGGAGAGAGAGAGAGAGTGGGGACCATTGACGGTTTCTTCTGCTTCTCCCGCTTATTTTTTTGTAACAGTGGTGTCTTTCTTGCTCAGAAGGTCCTGCAACTGAGCGTGCCCTAGACAGAGCGTTGGATTGATTTCAAGCAAGTAAGGGTGTGAACACGCACCCGCATAAACCTAGATTCTTATTGCTTTTGATGCTTGCAACTACATTTTTTGTTTCAGTTTTGTTATGGTTAGAATCCATGGGGAAATTGAGCTTTGTGTCCTTGTTTACTATATTCTTTTTCATGGAGATCTGATTTTAACTGAAGTTCTCTTATTTAGAGTTTAGGACTTGGTAGTTAAATATCTAATTTTTCCCCTCTAGTTATTGTCAGAATGCTCTCTTTCTCTCTCTGTCTCTCTCTCGCTCTCTCTCCCTCTCTCTCTCTCTCTTCTAGCTTTGTTTTAGGTAATTCTTGCTTTTTGAATTCTAGGTTGAGTTGTTTTCTGTTCTTAATTGTTTCCTTTTCCCTGCTTGTTTTTGGGATTTGGATTTTTTTTTTCTGGTTAATGGTAAATGACAAAAGAAATGATTCCAACTGTTGATATGGTCCTTAAAACCACTTAACAAGAAAATCATTTTGAGAGCTTTAAGAATTCAAGTAATTTGTCATGATGGCCTTTTACTTCCCTCATTGTTTGTCCTATAACTGCATTTCCATTAAATTGTCAGGGTTCTTCTAATTCTATTTGTGACAGCTTTGGTAATTTCCATACAGGTTTCAGTGATTAAAAAATCGGATTCAGGTTCTAACTTCATTGTGGTCTGATTCCAAGTCCCCTGAGTTCGACTTGGGGGCTTCCTGAATCTGACTGACCGCATTTAAACAAAAAATACAAGTCCTGGAGATTCAGGTGATCCTGGGGCTTTTCATCCCGGAATCACCAGCCTCCTGATCTGGCCTGGCTCAGGAAATTCTCGAGTCAGGGAAGCATTTTTTGAGTCACTGGTGGACTTTAGATCTTACCTTTAAAGTTTTACTCGGTTTGTTTAAGTTGGGATTGACCAGCAAGTATGGGCCTTTCATGAGATGGAAGAAAAAGCTTGTGCTGATTCAGTACATCAATATGAATTTTTCCCAAGTGTACTGATCGATTTGTTGTCAAAACCTATCAGTATTTAGTCATAAGTATTGTTGTAGAAGTGGCTTTAGAATATTGGGGCCTTTGAAAATTGTCTCTCAAGCTTCATAATTGATTATCTCACATATTTGTCAAAAAACAGAAGAAAAATTTATCTAGCGTGGTTCATGGCCTAGAATATGTACATCTAAATGCTCATCTAAATAATAGTAGGTGTCTAAACTACAAGTTAGGTTGGTTCACTGTGTAGATTTGTGAAATTGATTACTTCTTGAATCAGAAAATAATTGTACTGAGATATTTCTCTTGTGTCAGAGAAAGCCTTTTGCACGGACTTTTAATATCTATTAGTTAGTGTGCTTTAGACCAAGCCTTGGATGGATTTAGATTATTTTTTTCTGGACTTATTTATGCCTGCTGGTCTAATAAAAATGGAAAGTGAGCACCTTTAACCTTAAGAATTCAGCTTCTTATTAACGGTGTACTTGCAAAATTTATTGGAATCAGAGCTGATAACTGGCCAACATGCACAGTATATGTTTGCTCTGTTTTGTGTGGCTTTGTATTTAGCGCTTGGAGTGACGCTTATCCCATAATTTTTTGAGTGACATATAAAAGTTCACTGTTGCAGGTTGAGCACTTCTTTGGATCAAGACAGCAGACAACATGTTCCGTAGATGGCATCACAGTCATGACCATCCTGAGCCGGGTGTAGAGAACGAAGCTAAGGTAAATAAATGTATCCAACATGAAGTCATACTCCCTTGCAAATAATGGAGTGAGAAGTATTTGTGAGGAACTTATGATGTCCAATACTTTTTTTGAACAATATATACTTTTATACATGGATATCCTATTTATTCTTTGCTTTTGTTTATTAAGTCATGGAGATAACTATGAAGACTATAATTATACAAAACTTGAACTTATAGGTGATAGTGTATGGAACCAAGTCCAAGTTACAAGACTTAAAAATTTCACTTACAATGGACTTCACGAACTCAAATTACTAACTCAATTACAACACATATAACCACATGAACATCAATTACAACCTCTTGCACATGGATTACAGCCACATTATGGATATCCATACACTTTAAAAATCAAAGGATTACAACTCTAGTCATGCCCCTTATCAAAATCCAACCAAAACTACAAAAGGAGATTGGATATACTCAACAGAAAACTCAATTGCTATAAAATTCTGCACTATACTACTACAGTGCAAAATTATTCGTCAATTCCAAGTGACATATACTCCATAAAACTCAATTTCCACATACAAGCAGAAGGATACACAAGTGCTTAAGATATCCTTCATAGGAAGCAAACGTTTGAGCTCCTTGTGCCTTGTTTACCTCTAAGGACTTATTTGCATAACATGGAATGACTACTCGGATATCACCAAGATCATGGTCAATTTCACATCATCTTATGGGAAGCTTTTAAGCATGTAAATCACACTTTTGGGAACTTTTAACAAATGAGAGGCTCAAGAATTCAGTGTGAAAAATCGTGAGAGAAAACTTGTGAAATTTGGCTTTAAATTTTCCCAATTTTGTGATAGAAGATATAGCGGAAGCATGAGGAAATCTTGGCATGGCTCCCCGTAGAAATTTCACCAAATTAAAGTATAAAGGATGTAAATTAATTGACTGATTTGGATCCAGAAGTTGCAGAGAAATCTGTCAACAAATTCTCTAAGAAATTCAATGAAAATCTCTTTGAAATGTGGTCAAAGAACTAGGAATGGAAGGATTGTCCTCTAAATCAATTTGAACTCAATATCTTTTGAAATAAGAAGGTAAGGGGCTATAATACCTTACTGTAAATGAATAGTTACAGCCACCAAAAACTCCATAAATGTGTGGGATGATGAAGAATTCTACAAAATTGAGTGACCATGGACCTAGGGGTTTCACCTCCAAGCTCGAGTTGAAGTTTTAATGGAGCTTCAGTTTGACTTTCTCTCACTTAGATGCCACATTCGACCTCACTTTCTCACTTGAAAAACTTACCAATAACACAAAGAGGGAGAGGGAGAAGAAGAAGAAGGCTTAAGGGGGGCGTGCCCCCATACAGAGCAATTCACTCAAATGGGTGACCAAGGGTCCAATTTATAGGCTTGTGTAGTAGATGCTTCTTGATGAATTAATCTTAGCCATTGATATCAGTCATCTATGGTATGAAAGAGGACTCTATCTTAGCCGCTCATCACTCATCATGTCATCTCAATGAGTATATGAGATTCAACATCATTATCCTCCTAATAAACCTTAAATTCACTCTAAATTTCGCATCATTAAACTTAAACACAAATTCATATCAAACCCATCTTGTTTCCATAATTACCCATGCATCTTCATTTTAATAGATTGAGAAAGCCTAGGTAGGGGCATGCCCGTCATAGAATTGTTAATTCATTTTAGTAACAATTTCAATTTGAGATTTCATTCCAAATCCAAGTCATCAAGGGGGCGTTTGCAACCAATCACATGATGCCATATATGATAGTTGGTTATGAGCTTAATTCCAAAAGGATTTAGGATTTAAATGAATATATTAAACCTACTATTTAAAAAATCGGTGATCCGAATTGGAACCAGCTAATTCAGACTATGAATCGATCAGGCTCCCTCCCATGAACCAGCTGGTTCAGATTGGTTCTATTATTGAACGAGATGACAACCCGGTTCTCAAGATATTTTTTTTTTTGAAAATTTGAAACTTTTGTCATACTTCCAGTTTTCAAACTGCTATTTTTCTATCAGTTGGCCCCACTTGCAATGAATGTTTTTGCCTGCCTTGCTCTACGGAGTTGTTTATATGACTGTAGCCCTACTTTTTTTTTATAGCCGCGCGACACCTCTTACTTCCTCCAAGACCCCAATGCAGGACTAAAATTCCTCATCCCCTTTTCTCTCTACCACTTCTTTAATTTATTTGGTGGTGCCTTTGTGTCTTATTTACAAGAAAGAGATAAGTGATTGTGGGTGTACAATGCACGGAAGCTGAACGGCTAGGTGTCACATGTCCTTTCATCAGAGCTGTCCATTTAAGACTAAAAAGGTTCAAGTGGCCATAGTAGTAGTTTTCTTTTGATGATGCCTTTACAAACTTGTTCATTTTCATTTGAATTTCACCATGAATTCTAACAAAAAAATTGACCAATTCTACAGAAATTGAAAGATACAATGAAGGATGAAAAAGAAAAAATAGCATACAATGAAGGATGAGGCCTACTTATGAGGATTTTCTTGATTTGAAATTCAGACGCACGAGGTTTTTTAAAAAAGTTCGAGTTTTTGATCTTATCGTGCTATTTAAAAATAGGATGGTAGCAAGATGTTATTTTTATGAGCTTCATTATGTTTTTTTTTTATAAATGAGAAGTGCCAATAATTTTCTTTTTGATGAACATTACTACCATTTTATTCACAATTTCATAAAGTACACATTATTCAAAATATAATAAAATAAAAAAAACCATGATCGGTCATTGTGAGGGTCATAACTTTTCTCTCTATTAAATCAAAAGGTCCAAAACTATTGTATGCTTCCTTTTTTTTTTCCACTATAACAAATTGAGTTAGAGAGATCCATTTTATTGCAATGTATTGCATTTAAAACTTAATTTTGTCTTTAAAATGAATGTCATGGATAATAAACAGTCATACATGAGACATGTTTTTATGTATTTTCAATAAACTAATAGAAAAACTATAATGCAATACCACTGATTTTTCTGGGGACCTAAAGAAACTATTTTTTAAGAAATTTCAGTGATCTTTTGAAAAATTTTTAACGCCAAATCTTGCCGATCTAGCCGATTCGTCGATCTCGATCACTAATTTGCCAATTTGGACCTATTTTCCGATGGGGTGTCCAGGTCACCAATCCATTTTTTTAAACATTGATTAAAATAACCCTTACTAGAAGATCACCCGATGTGCACGCTACGAGCCATGTGCCCATATTTAACATGTACTCAAATTCATTTTCAAATTTTCTCAAAATACCTTATAAATCAAAACCCCCTTATTACAAAAATCAAAATGACAAGATGGCCCCCCCATAAGGGTGCTGATGTCACCCCCACATCATGTGCATGTGGCAATGACGTGGAACCACATCACCCACATGTGGCAATGATGTGGAACCACATCACCCACATGTGGCACCCATCGGCCACTTGGCTGTCACTTGTGGGCCATAGGGGTTGTGTCCTCATCTGTCATTTCTCAAAAATAGTTTTCTAAAATCTCAGGTTTTGCTCTAGAAAAATTCTAAAACATTCCCCAAATTCTCCAAATTATTCTCTCTCATGTTTACTTAGTTTGACATCATATAAAAATATTGATGAAGGAAATTAGGATCCTTTGGAGATGGAACTGGGTAAAACGGAGCACTCTACTTGGCTAGACCCAAATTCTAAAGTCACTTTGTTAGAATGACCCAAGTCACCCAACAAGTCCATGGCCTACAGTCTGTGGTAGGAGTCCATGCTTGACTTATCAAAGTCTATCCAATACATGACTCTGGACTTGGAGGTTACAATGGATTATAGGTGCACCGCCAAGGACATGCACTCTTGTGGATGTGATGGTCCTCTCTTGGCACATGCGCTACTCTTCCAAGTGGATCAACTATGAAAGCATGGCTTCCCATTTGTGGTAGTGTATGCACATGCCTTGAGAAGATTTGAGGTCGAGGATTTGGGCTTATTGGTTGGGTGCCTCGATCTCGTCGGGTTGCGTTCGACCTTGTTGGGACTCGGACGCAGGGTTCGGCCTGAGATCGCTCTCTCGAAACCGCAGCGCGTGGAAGTGCACGTGTAGGCAGGATACCAACTAGTGAGAGAGGAATTGCGTGTGAGGTGGGACTTACCTCACGGTGGGTTCGTGATAAGCTCCGGCGTTTCGTATGGGCGCCCTCTTAGATTACGACGGAAAGTCCCCCTAGCCTGAGGCTGGTTCGATTCCCAACTCCCTTGCTCGCTTTCTGCGTCTCGTAAACACACACACGTAAGATGGCCAGACAAGTGGGTCAAAAGACTCTGACTTGTCATTAAGGAGGTGTATATATGAAAAGATGGAGTGATATGAGATTGTTCATCGGTTTGGCTGCCTTTCGGTGCCGTCTTTTCGAACGATCTCATGTAGGTAAATAAATAAATAAAGATGATTTGGGTGAGATGATAGCAGAGGAGATAATGTGAGGGTTGAAGAAGTAGAGAGTTAGAGGGGGTAAAAGGGAGGAATGGGAGAAAGAGTTTTAAGAAAGGAGAGAAGAGAAAAAGAAAATGAACAAGAGGGAGGAGAGAGAGCGCGAGAAAGAGAGAGAAAAGGGGAGAAAGCAAGAGAGAGAACGGAGAAGAGGAGCGAGAGGGAGAGAGAGAGAAGGAAAGAGGAGCGAGAGGGAGAGAGAGGGAGGGAGAGAACGGGGAAGAGAGAGGGAGTGAGAGAAAAAGAAAAAGAGAGTGAAAGAGAGAGTAAGAGGGAGAGAGAGGGAAAGAGATCAAAAGGAAGAGAGAGAGAAAGCGAGAGCAAGAGAGAGGAAAGGAGAGAAAGGGGAAGAAGTGAGGGGAGTCGGTGGCTTAGCCATTGGCTCGGTTGAGTGAGAAGGAGAGGAGAAGAGAGAGAGAGGGAGAAGAGAGAAGAAGAGAGGGAGATAGAAGGAAGAGAAGAGGGAAGAAGGAGGGAGAAGAGAGGAGAGAGAGAGAGGGAGCCAGCGGCTCGGTTGAGTGAGAGAAAGAGAAGAGAGAGGGGAGAGAAAGAAAGAGAGAGAAGGGGAGAGAGAAGGAAGAGAAGAGAGAAGAAGAGAGGGGAGCGGGCAGCTTAGTCGCCGGTTCGGTTGGACATGAGAGAAAGAGAGAGAAAAATAGAAGAAGAAGAAGAAGAAAGGAGAAAGAGAGGTCGGGCCGACGGCTTATCTGCCGGTCTGGTTGGACATGTGAGAAACAGAGAGAGAAAGAGAGAAGAAGAAGAGAAGAGAAAGAGGGCTCGAGCCGGCGGCTTAGTTGCTAGTCCAATTGGACATGAGAGAAAGAGAGAGAAAGAGAGAAGAAGAAGAAAAGAGAAAGAGGGGTCGGACCGGCAGCGTAGCCGCCTGTTTGGTTGGACATGAGAGACAGAGAGGGGAAGAGAGAAGAAGAAGAAGAGAAGAGAAAGAGGGGTCGGGCCAGCGGCTTAGCTGCCGGTCCGGTTGGACATGAGAGAAAGAGAGAGAAAGAGAGAAGAAGAAGAGAAGAGAAAAAGAGGTCGGACCGGTAGCATAGCCGTCGGTCCAGTTGGACATGAGAGAAAGAGAGAGAGAAAGAGAGAAGAAGAAGAAGAAAAGAGAAAGAGAGGTCGGGTCGGCGGCTTAGCTGCTGGTCCGGTTGAACATGAGAGAAAGAGAGGGAGAAAGAGAGAAGAGAAGAGAGAGGGGGGGAGAGAGAAAGGAAAAGTGGTTCCTTAGGTGGGCCCTTGAATTGGAACGGCAGCTAGGTTGGAAGTGAGGAGTTCCAAGTGGGAATTGAGGGATTCTTGATGGGGAGTAGAGAATCCCAAGGGTAGTGGCTTGTGGGAAAAGTTTTCTCCCTCTCTTTATGGAAAATGGTAGAGAAAATATTGCAAGCAAAGGGGACACTCAAAGCCAAATTTTGAGCTTATGGGGGACCTCTCATTAGCTTTCATTAGCCCTCTTACAATTGATCATGTATGTGTATTTATAGCATCCCCTTGAAACAAGGGTGGATGCTCAAAACTAAAAGAAATTACATTTTTCTTGATTTAATTTTAATCCCTTTTTGGGGCAAAATGATGATTTTGCCCCAACCCACAATCTTCCAAATGACAAGATAGTCTCCAAAAAGTGACCATGAACCATGATGATCTTTTTGGGTTCATTTCTACTCTTTCAGGCGACCTTCCGACGAAAAGAATGCCACAAAAGCGATGACCTCGGCGAGGTGATCGTTTTGATATGTCTTTTGACTCGTGAATCGAAGTTTCGATCCTTCAACGAAATCCGGCAAGAGATGAGAAATTTGCGTTCTTAGTTCTTAGATTTCGCTTGTTTCTTATCGTTTTGCTTTGATTTTTCTATCGTAGAACGACGAGGAAGTCGCCACGATCATTTGGTGACAAGAACTGCTCGATTTGATCACTGGATCATCATTTTCTAATTGGGGAACTTGCCGGAATATGTATTTCGGTCGCCGAAAAATGCCTCTCTTGGTACCTTAAAATACAGCCCTTCCAGTGCATCACGCGCGATGCTTATTAGCCCTTGACCGTACGGTTGCAACGAACCCATTTTCGAGCCAATCCGACATTGTGATTTCATGATGTGGCCGTTTGATCAAAGGGATCTCCTTCTTCCAAAAATCTACTTCACATGAGTTTTCTTAAGCGACTTCTCTCTAAGATTTCTCCCGTCTCGGGCCGTGTCATGGGCCGTGCCACATATCAAAACGTTCGCGTCGACGAGATGAAGATCCTCGTGAAAATTTGAGCTTGATTCGGCTTAAGACGAAGGAGTTATGACCCTTCAAAGGTAATCTCGAAATCACAGTACACAGTTTCCATTCACCGATGGTGGACCAGAATAGTGTGTAACCCACCCTTTTTGGGTAAGTTGGCCATAGAATGGTCCAGAAGCGTTTGAACGAGCTGAAATTTGGTATCTGGGGGTTTTCGGACATTTTGAATCCAATGGAAGTGGTCTGGTGCTCATCTGAAGCTCCGGTTATAGGGCTGTAGTTATAAGGTGAATTTTCAGCATGTTAGAGGCCGCAACTGAAAACCGGTTTTGCCTTTGATTCACCTTAACGTTGTCAGATCGCGACAAAACTTGGCAGGTGCTCTTAGGGAGTGAAATTCCGCCTCCTCATACTTTTTGGGACCTATCTACTGCTTTTCAATGATGTGTTCCAGATGAAGATTTAGTTAAATAGTGCTTCCGTGACCCACAGGCATTTTGGTACCTGCGGGCTTAGGTCGCGATTGGTTTTCTCCTTAGTCGCATCGGGGATACAAGTGTTGAAAAATACCTTAAGACACTTATGTCCTCTAAAAGCCTAAGCTTCTCATACATGGTCATTTCTCACAATTACTTGAACTCTAATCATAAGTTATAGGTTTCTTGTCGCCCTAGCCATCACATCGTCATGAGGCATAAAACAATCCGACCCTCGCTAGAGGCAACCCTTAACCCGCTCAATACGGTGCCTACTCAAGCATATGACATGGGATTTGGGACTCTTGGCCCTAGTTTGCCAAGATCCTTTAGTCACATCGCTCTCGCTCACTTCCATTGTGATTAAGAGCTATTAAATTCTGGGGGTCAAGGCCTTGAAAGGTCATAACTCTAACAATAGGTATGTCGATTGGATTGTGGCTGATTTGATATGAGATTGTTGAAAGGTATGTGCACAACGCATAGGTGTAATATACTAGCATACTTCTTCATATATATTTCGTCATCATCACCATCATTATCATCATCATCATCATCCGAGCTTTATCCCAACTATTTGGATTGGCTACATGAATCCTATTCTGCCATTCTACACCCTTGGTTAGACCATAAGTCACCATATCTGTTCTCACTACTTCCATCCATGCCCTTCTGGCCCTTTCTGTCGTTCTTTTAGAGCCTTCCTCTTGAACCAAATCTCTCTTTCTAACCGGTGTTGTTCTAGGTCGATGACTTCTACATATATATTTTTTGTAGGCAACTTGGGTTTATAGTTCATCATATTTTGAGAACAAATGGGTGTGTAAATTTTCCATTTGTTGCTGGATATTATACTCAAGTGACAAAAACACACTGGTTTTTTTCATTAACAAATTTTGTCTGTTTGTGGTATCAGCAGGTCAATGAGTTGAAAGCAGCTATCGGGCCTCTAACTGGACACACTTTACAGTTCTGCACTGATGCATGCCTAAAGCGATATCTGGAAGCTCGCAATTGGAATATTGACAAGGCCAAGAACATGTTGGAAGAGACGTTGAAGTGGAGGTCAACCTATAAGCCAGAGGAAATCCGTTGGGTACATTATTCACACCATGACCCCCTGCTCTTGATTCATCTGATGAACTTAACATTTAAGGACTAGACTCAAATACTTTTGTTTTTGGCGTTTTTCTTGCCTTGGATCTATTCCCTGAGAGTTATTAAATTGCTAACCTTGCAGATTGTGAGTGCTCTATGGTTACACAGAAGTACTATTTTTGCAAGTTTTTCAGCAATTACTCCGAGATGTTTGTTATCCTTAAAAACAATAAATGGGGTCTATGGCTATCATACAGAATATAGATGTCTAGAAGCTAATATGGCAGTGAGTCAATACAAGGTTCTTTACTTCTTTAGATACTTGTTTTTTAGAGAGTTTGACCCTGTAATGATATTATGAGGCTGTAAAGTGGTGGGGGGTCAGATTTTTCCATCTCAAATGCGCCGTCTTTCCCTGGGCTGTCCATTTGATGAAGGTACAACTGCCTATCTGCATCTTTTGTGTTTGGTCCCTTGTTTGGCGACTGTAGATGTCAATAGGAACAAATATCTATTTTAATGGATATAAAGTGACCTTTTTTTTTTGGCTAGGTAAGCAGAGTTTGTTGGGGTACCCCACTAAAGTTGCCTTGCTTTAACTTACACAGAAAGGGAGTGTTCTTGTTTAGGATGAATTATTTTTTTGAGATGAGTGATGTGGCTTTGCATCATCAATTTCGTGCTCTTAACTTACATTTTGGCTTTTATTTTTTATGTTACACGCTTAAGAGAAGAAAATAGGAAACAATTTTTGTTCTTTTTATCTTTAGAGTCTTTACATGTCTTTGATGTAAGCAACATACAACGTATGTTAGATGGATGTTGTTTTATTCTAAGAAATGAATGTTGGCTTCTCATAAAGGATTAAAGGATGGATATGCATTTCTCTTTGAGTAGGTTAGCATGGTATTTGAATTTGTAACAAAGGGTTGGAATTATCAATATTGTGAGCAATCAAGGCCATAATTACTGGGATCTCCCGACCTAGATAGTGATCCCTCTCTGGAATCTTATTCAGGCGCTTTGGGAAAGGGATCTTGATTTTTAAATTTGGGGATGTTGATTCCACTGTAAGGGACCTTGATCCCCACCTTAAAGACTAAGATAAGGACCAAACTGATGATTTTCCTTATTTATAGTCAGCTAGCAATGCAACTATAATTTTATTATGGTTGGATTGCTCGCTGGCTATAAATAAAGAGATACCTACCTTAAAACGTATAAATGGTCCTAGACTATGTAAACTCTATAAGATTGGGAGCAAGAGGTTGGAATCTTGATTCCCAGAAAGTTGGTATTGCAATCCCTGACATTTGGGGATCTTGATCTCTAAAATATGCATTTTAGGGAGGGAAATTGCCCTTGGGCAACAGACATTTCCCTTGGCTTGGGATCATGATATGTAAACCTAGTTGCCTGCTTATCTCGCCCCTTGTCTGAGGGTAAAAATTGCCCTCAAGTAAGGGATATTCATTTTTCCTCTCTTAAGGGGGCGAAGTGGATGTGTTTTTCTTTTTTCTTTCCGGTTGGGGGGGGGGGGGGGGGGAATGGAAGGAGGAAGAGGGTACCTACCCCCAAAAGGTGATTTTAGGGTTTCTTTTGCATTAAAATAAATAAATCAACAGAACTTGGATTTGCCAATTTTTTGTTTTAGATTGAAAAGTTCTGAGAAGTTTGAGCAAACATCCTATACCTCACTTTCCTTGGATTCATTGTGAATATTGAAGACTAAGTTCTTAAATTCTTGTGTATCATTTTACTTTTATGACTTTCTCTTTATGGTGGTTTGTAACTTTGAATTTTGGAATGTGTATGGAGATTGGAGTCTATGAACTATCGACTTATGGTTGTGGCCTTATATTTTTGTTATTCAGTATTTGAGTCATATGTTGTATCTTATATTCTTTAGGGTTGTTACCCCCTGGTCGCCTGTTCACTGCGTGGCATTTCTTAAACCTTGGAATTTTAGCTTTGCCCATTCAATTATTGCTATTGTTATTGATGTTCCACTCGCATGGATATCCATGTTCGAATGGGATGATCGTTATAGTTGTCATATTAATTTTATTACTTATTTGACATGGATGTATATTTAGATACCAGTGGAATCTGATATTTGTAATGGTAATTGTTAGGTATACTGGTATATTTTTGAGCTGATTCTTAGTTTTGTAGTTAGAACAGGGGTTTGATGGGTGAGATCACTTTTCCTTCCATTTTCATCCAATGTTATTTTCTATGGAAAAGTTTATCAGTACATCAAGTGTGACTGTTCATCTGTTAAAAGGATGCCCTTTCTTGGTGATCTCCAGATTTTCATGTTTCCTCTTGCAAACTGAGATGGGAGAAAACTGCACGTAGATGAACTGAATGTGGGCATGCATTAAGCTGAGACACATAGAACCATTAGCTTAGAGGACTATAAGTGCACCCAAGTGCCTCCCTAAAATCTTCCACACTGATTTAATATGGATTAGTTGGGCATGCATAGGTAAGTTTGAATGTGAATATAAGTTCCACTGCGTCTGTGACAAGATAAAATGGATAACTTAAAATGTATCTTTTGAATGTTGCCAACTCTCATGAGGAAGTCCATTCCTAGTCAACTCAATAAGACATGGACGTAAGTTATAGGGTTCCACTTCACGTGTCTCCAAATTCCCCTCATTTAGTGAAACAGACCATGACATACTCATGTAATGTAACAATATCTAGACAATCATATCACAAATGCCTTTAATTTTTCTACTGTAACCTAGCTGTTTTAGATATCTTCAAAATGATTGGGATGTTCAAGGAAGTTCCTATATTATGTACAAAATTTATGAACCATTAAATGCGATTTCTTCTATCATCTTCCTTTATTTCTAGTATCACAACCCGCTTTTGAAATCCTACTCGTGTAGAAGTTACCACCAAACAGTGGCTATTTCATAATAGCCAAAAGGTAAATAACCTTTCTTTCCTTTGTTCTATAATAGTAGAAGAATCCCTAGGTGTGATTCTGAAACTGGCCCCAAGACTAGGTCCTGGGACATATGCTGTATCTTGCCACACGTTATGTCTGCCTATCTCAGCAGTTGAATTGCAACTGTCATAAAGTAACAATTGGACAAAAGTGGCAGTTATGAAGCATCCTTTCAAATATTATATATAAAAAAAAACAGAATTTTGTGTAGATGTAAAATAATTCAAAATTAGATAAAATAGAAATTAATAGTTAGTATGAATCTATAAAAAAAAGAGATGTTTTAGTGTTCATGCTATCTATGTTGTGGTTCATCATATTTTTTGCTCTTTCACCCTTCGAGCTATTGTCAATACAAAAATACTTATTTTAGCTTGTTGTACTATTAGCACCTCTGAGCAATTACTTGCACAATAAATGCCAATGAGATAGGGATGACCTTCCTTCTAGGCTAAAATTACTTCTTCTATGTCCCTGCAAATACTAGCCACTATATATTGCACTGAGAAGCCAGGAACAATGCTGGACGAACTAAATGTATGTACCAATCAGTTCAGTCTCAGCGAAGAAAAGATGTGAATTGAACTCCCTTAGTTGATTTGGAAGTCCATTATTCTTGGTTGCCAAGGATGCTTACTTTGCATACTATGAGAATCCAGGCTACAACTGTTCAAGATGCTTCTTGTGACACTTTTCGCCTATAAATGCTACTGCATAGATTAATTGCATATATTAATTTGTTATTATGCCATCAATACATATATTCATTTAAACCCTTTTCCACCTTTTTTGGAGTTTTGTTTTGTAAAAATATGGTTTGTAAATTGGTGTTTATATCAGTGTTTGCCGACTCACCCAAGTCACTCGGACTTGGCACGGCATCCTGCCGCGTCCAGAACCACCTTCAACTCAAGGGTATATAAAAAATCTTTTTTTTTTTTCAATTCTTTACCAAAAACACACTCATTTGAGCCTAAGTTTGACCCATAGATAAATGTGATTTGAGCAAAAACAATCTTAGTTGAGGGGTTTGAGAGATAAAAAAATCACTTACCGAAGAAAAATCAGTTTATATGAATTTAAACTGAAAAAAATCCAAAAGTTTGAGGACAATCCCCCAATCTTTATGCTTGGTATATAACTCCATGCCTCCAATACTCGTCAAGCTTCCCCAAACAAACCCCAATGACACACTCAAACCACAATTAGGTTTTGAGTTTGGATCTTGGTGTTTGAGCTCTTGAAAATTTCTGTTGAATATAAAATCCATAACCAAAATCTCACAAATCCAAGTTTTTTTGTGCTTTTTGTAAAGTACAAACCTATGATTGGATGAAAAACCCAAAATTAGGGTTGGGAAGAAACTCCTTGAAGATCGACAAATCATTACAAAGAAATCGCAACTTTTTGAAATCAGGAAAAATCTTATATTTTCCTTATTTTTACCAAATTTTCAATATTTTCCCCCTTTTTCTGGGCTTTTTGGGTGGTTTAACACAGACTAAGGCAAATTGGCGTGGACTTGCCCGAGTAACCCAGATTACTCAGGATCTGAGATCTGCAGCTGGGTAACGTCATCTGGTGTTGGTTTATAGCAATATTTTTTTTTTAGCATTTTGCAGAGCTCTCTTTTCAATAAATTCTTCATGAAGTTTCTTTCTCTAAAAATGTCCTGGCATTGGCATCATAATCCCCTTTCATCTTTCAGCATGAAGTTACTGTTGAGGGTGAAACTGGTAAAGTATACAGAGCAAACTTTCATGATCGACATGGGAGGACTGTCCTTGTGTTGAGGCCAGGAAAGCAGGTTTGTGGGCATCTGCATGTGTATAAACTATTCAAATCATTAGTTATGATACATGATAATGAGGACTTTTTTCTAATCACTAAGTGCAAAATGTTTCTTGCATGTACAGAATACTTCATCACATGATAACCAACTCCGTCACCTGGTTTATCTCATAGAAAATGCCATCCTTAATTTACCAGAGGATCAAGAACAGATGGTTTGGTTAATAGACTTCACAGGGTGGTCCTTATCAAATTCTGTCCCCATCAAGACTGCCCGTGAAACTGCAAATGTTTTACAGAATCACTATCCCGAGAGGCTTGCTGTGGCATTCCTTTACAATCCTCCTAGGATCTTTGAAACCTTTTGGAAGGTCAGATTTCCTTGCTCAAACACACTCACCCTTTAAATTGATTTGAATAGAAGTACCTCTGTTTTTTCTCTAAGATGACTATCATATTCACAGTGCTTTTGCTTTCAGTTTTACAGTGTTTTGAGTTGATTTCCTGGACATGAGTGAATCAACCATCCTGTGAACCAAATGTGCTAGTTTTCTGAAAGGATTGGTAGAATAATTGGATCAATTTTTACCCGATCAAAGGATCTGGGTCATAAGGATCTGGGTGCTTATGGCGAATTGAAACCACATTTGCTTCCTTAGTATTTCTAAATGTTACGGGTTTTTGCTCGATTAGAATTCTGAACTGGTATCCCTATCTATAATGCTTCTTGTTTATTTAAGTAAAGACCATCAGACGACTCCTTTTGCTCATCCTCTTCCAGAAAGTAACACAAGGAACTTGACGAGTCCCTGTTATTGTTAATGTTGAACAGATAGTGAAGTATTTTCTGGATCCGAAGACATCTGAGAAGGTGAAATTTGTGTACCCAAAGAAAGACGAGAGTGCTGAGCTGATGCGCCATCACTTTGACACTGATATGCTTCCAACTGCACTCGGGGGCCGAGACAATTCCCAATATGACCACGATGAGTTCTCTAAACTTATGACTTTGGACGATGCCAAAGCAGTGGGAGTGTGGAAATTGGACGATAACGTTCACAATAATAAACTTGGCCCTCTGAAGAATGGTTATTCATTGGTGGAGGGGGAAGCAAAGGCCAGTGTTCCTCCTGCTAGCTAGCTCGAGGTGGGGCCAAAAGTCTTAAAAACCGTTCTAAACATCATGGACCTCTGGATAAGTATATCTATAGGTACTAACATGAGAGGCAAGGCCACAGGCGGGATCTAAGAGATCCCATTTTTATGAGTTTTAAAAGGGTACCATTCGGCACAATTATGAATTAAAGGCTGGAACCAATACCGTTCCTCCCCTGCTTCTACTAGTAACCGCTTCTTTTCTTCCCTTTATTTTGAGACTGGTTTTCACTTTTCTTTCATGGAAAGAGAGAATATCATTGGAGGGTTGGATTATTTTGACAAGAGGGATTTTGAGAATGCATCTACCCGTGGGAGCAGAATGATCATTTACTCCAACCTAGAATTAATTTTAAGAACCTAAATTATGGGGATGTAACCTCTTCAACCCATAAATTGACCTCAATAAAATAAATTTTTTAACTTTACCCTCTATGCACTTGAAAAAATAATATCTAGAGATTGAATAGATACCATCAAATTTTTAGATGCTGAGATCTAAATGTCAAAAAACTTAAATTTTCGATTTTTTTTTTTTTGAGAATAAAAATCTACATATTCTTAAGTGGCTCCCAAAATATTAGATTGAAAAAATCCTTCTATGTATCCAAGGGAGTAGAAGTTACTATGCTCCAGAAGGAGCATAATATACGTACTCTTTGTATCTTCATAGAAGATATACTTGATCAATGTGGGTTTAGCTGGTCAATTAGCAATTTTGTGGACCGATCTCCAATTGGATTAATTGGCTAAGCTGTATTCAGTGATTAATTATTAATCGGTAATGGAAGTATTTGGGGATGGTGATTAGATAGCTGTTACTTGTTGCAAGTTACAAGCAAGTGTTGAAAGTTCCCACATGCTATCGGCACACCCAAGAGAGAGTAAATGGGAGTGAGAGTTTTTGTGTTTCTCACCATTTCTCTCTCTCTCCAAAAGCTATTTACTTAAAATCTCCTTTATTTATCATGTAATTTTAATGATCTCAGAAAAAAATTGCGACCATCTCCTCTTAAAAATTTCTTTTATGTTAAATCTGTAGAAGATAAGAAAGTGGAATATGTTTAAAGAAAAGGAAACTTGAAATATTAGAAAGGGCTTTTATATCCATATCATTCTTGCCAAACATACTATTCTTTCCAAAACTGAGAATTTCTATGAGTGTTAAGCTTATCCCAAAATAACTTAAGAAATTTTCTTTAAAGTTAGACATTAAAATTAGATAACTATAAGAATAATATCCATGACTTTGAGTGTGAAATCACAAAATAAACTCAGTTAAATTAAACATTTTGAAATTTATTCTTCATTCAATTTCGCAGTTGCATGCAGTGCACATTCCATTAGCGATCAGCGTGGTCGAGAGTTTTAGTCAGCACGTTCAGTCGTGTTAGGTGAATATTTGTAATTGCTGAAGAATTGAAACATGTATGCCAAATTTTCAGCCTAATAATCTGAAGTTTATTGCGTCTTCTTTTAATACATGTTTATACTTGACACACATTTATGCCGATTAATTCCTGACGGGCATAAATAATTGCCAATCAATAATTTAGTTTCTGTGAACTACTCATTGAGGAATATGAAAAACACACTGATTAAATTAAAACAATACCGGGTTACTTCGAAATTTTAAACTGATTGGTGAAGAACTGCAGTATCTTAATAATTTCCTCTTGGAACTCGAATAATCCCAACTCATCAAAGCGCATGATTAAATAAGAGTAAAAAAATAATCCCAAATTTAATTTAGCTGAGAAGATTGCTTGATTTGCAGAAATGTAGGTAATTGATCACTTGATTCACTGCAACAAACCAGTGATCAATGGTTGGAATCAGTAACAAATTGCAAAAAATCAGTAAAAGTGTAGTTTAACCATATGTATGATTCATGGATGCTTCAATGCTTTTAAATAGAGCCATCATCATCAGCATTATCATCATCATACCCCTTTTTCAATTTATTGGGGTTAGACAACACAAATCCTGACCTGCTGATATGTGCTATACCCTCAATGAGGCCATAAATCCTCATGTATTTTTTCGTCTACCTTTAATGAGACCACAAGTTAAAGGGATATACACTTAAAAATAAGTACTTAAACTCTTTGGTATGTTCACACATGTATACATCATCAAGCATGCACAATGTTATTTATAAGCAGGGTTAATCTCCAATAACAAATGGAAACATGGACACTCCGACAAGAAAAAAAAAAAGGGAAAATAGTACGAGAAAAGGAAGGAGCTCACATCCCAACTTGGGAGGTAAGGTCCCTCCTACTACAAAACTTCATTTGTCCATCTTGTCAGCTTAGTAGTAAGTGAGAAGGTACATACAGATATTATAGCACAATTCATCCTATAAGCAGCAACAGAGCTCTGCTTCACGATGTCTTGGACATTTTTCACGGTATTCATGCTGCGTTGGTTTTCGAGCAAGGAACACATCTACTGATACTCGTTGAAGTTGCGAATTGCACGTGAGAGTTGCTTGCCTAAAGAAGCCGCCTCTTGAAGCCTCTGGTGGTGGCGTGGTATGTACGCACCAGCAAACCGACTCCTACGCCAACACCCAGGCATATCCCAAGGCCTATCCCGACACCCACCCTTACGCCCGCATTGAACCATGAGAGCTCGCCATCTTCACCTTCTATGTATTCTCCCCTTGGATAAGGTTTAGTAAAGTTGTCATCATCGGCACATCCAAAATCTTGGTATTCTGATATCTGTGAACAGAAATGAAGAATGGAGAACAACATTCATGGATGATGAACAAAGTTCTTCTCAACACAAGCTATCGTGGTGACCAGTAAACTTAACCATATAGCATCAAATAAATAAGGGAAATTTATTAGAATACCCATGAGAGATGCATTTCTTAACATTTTACATATTTGTCATCATTCCAACTCATGATTATGTGTTTTTGATGGGTATTAAAAAATTAAATCGATCTGGGTCAAATGTTAAATAAATAATCTCTCACAGGTGTCTAGAAAATTTTCCCAATAACTAATCACCCAAACTTCCAAATCTGAAAAAAATAATAATAATCCACAAGCATTACATCTAACCAAATAGAATTATCAAAGAAGTCAAAACAACGACAAAACCAATTCCAACACTTCCCTAACAAAACAAATGGTCAAATAGAGAATATAGAAAGAGTCAAATTTGCTCTAAACCAATCGCATCATAGTAAGAGAACAGTTAAGTAGCAAAGCGTCTCAAATTTCTAAGCCCTCAATCACCATCAATGACCTGTACATGTCCAAAACACACACAGATCCATCAAATTCCACGCAACAGTTGAGGCCTCCTCAATAATAATCACAATGGGGAAAAAAACCAAGACTTGCATATGCATGTATCCCATGGAGATATCATCCACATCTCTGCCTCTCTTTAGAAACAATAGAAAGGATAAAAGATGACGGGAAAGGTAAAAAATGATAACAAGTGCATCAATCAAAAAACAAAAAAGAATGTTCAGAGGAAGAAGAGTGTGACAGTATATTCCTATCCATCCAATAACTACAAGGTTTCAAACCCTTGAAGTTTGTCCTGTAAGCATACCTAATTGACCTAGACTTCTTTTAGCTTCATCGTAAGACGAGTAATGAACTAATATCTCTAGAACAGATACATACACTGGGACAAAGAAGTGTCTAGAATGTTAGCTGATGAATACATTTATGATACCTGTTGTGACAATCAAAATTTCAACACAAGCGCTATTCTGACACCCAAAAACTAGTGTCCATGGGAACTTTGAGTTTCAGTGGCCAAACCAATAAAAAATGTGTCTTAGTCATGAGATTTATCATCAAAAGCAATTCAACACATGCTACTTGGAAAGGGGGCAAAAAACTATGCCCTGTACGTGAGTATGGAATGATCTATGAAGAGAAATGCCAAAATATATAAATAGAAACTGTGTTTTGACTGGGAAGTTTTCATAATAGCTGACCCCAAATAGTTGGAATAAGGCTTGGATGATAATGATGATGACCACGATTAATCTCTATAAGTGGCATGAAAAGGTTCATAGTCAAAACACCCTGGTAGCCATGTACATCATAACAACTTCACAAGTCTTCAACGGCTGCCACATGCAAAATTTACTTCACAACCCAAGAATTGTAGATGAAGATTGAATCACAAACCTGAGTCCTGACACACGATGACTAAGATCAATTACGAACTCGAATTTGAATAGTCTTTCTACTTATTGACAAAATATCCCAACCAAAAAGGAAGCCTATAAAATAGATCTACAATGTTGAGTCGATGACTGCGGAACATACCCCAAACACATTACAATGTTGAGTTGATGCCTGCTGAAGACACCTCAAACATGTAGGCTGTTAAGCATGCACACAGGCATGAAGATAAATGAGGGTATGTGGGAGCTATGAGCAACAGAAAGTGAACCACATGAAGAACCACCAAATATATCCAAACCATTGGAGTCCCATATTCTTGGGCCCATATTCTACTGATTGCATGCTTGATCCATGTAGGTACTTGGAGATATGCAAATAGTTAAGCTGACTCATTAGCTTAAGGAGGAATCCATCCATCCCTCTTATAATCAGAATGCCAGACTTTTTTAATAGCACCATCCCTCTTATAGCCCAATATTCTTTACCCTTATTGTTCGAACATAATCTCCACAGTAGGAACATATTTCTACAAGGCATTCCTCATAGATCGATAAAGTTAAATTATACTTCTTCTTTTTCTCTCTTCCTTTCCTCCGAAGAGATTGGACCATAGTGACTAAAACATATACTTCCCTCAAAGGCATGATAAAGTTGGCCTCTGTATTTTCAAGACTTTGACTCACGTATGGAGCATTGTTTCATCTTGCTGCATTCTAGCAAAAGATTGCTGAATCCTATCCATAGTGGTGGGGACCATCTTGTCTCCTTATATTTGTACCTTCTACAGTACATGTCGTTAATACTACCGGATGGGTTGTGCCAATCATACATGCATGCTACACAATATGCTGCAATCTGTATTCTGTGACATTATGCATTTCCTTACAAAATTACATGTTGCATACTAAAAAAATTAATGCTGCCCATTAAACCAATATCAGCTAGAACTTCATGAATGGCTAGGAGAGAAACTTGGCAGTTCTCTGGGAAAGAAACAGGAGACAGCGGTTATAGTTAGCTAATGTGGAATAATGGAAAATTCCAAGCACTACATCAACATAGTAAATAAGTAGGTTCCCATCCCTTGGAAGTGGTAGAACTAGGATCATAGCTGCAAAAACATGTCAATTTATGAGGACCGGATGCACATCAAAAGCATGGATGCATGCTTGTTCTTCCACTACATGTCATATTCCCACATATGAAATGTCCTCTGATATAATATATCAGAAAAAGAGAGACACTAATAGAAGACCCAAAGCATGCAGTCCATGTTCCAAAATTCACGCAGAAAACTGAAAAAGGTACTCCAATAAGAAAAAGCAATAAATAGGAAACCGATTCAACTGCCACTCGCAGATTTTAAACAATTGACAGACTTTGCAGAAAGCGATTAAAGCAAGTTGAGGATCCATGGCTTTCACTTTAACTGCTCCTATATTGCAAAACACCTACCAATAAAGCCAAACCCCATAGCAGGTCCTGCTAAACCCCTAACATCTTGAGGACTTACTGATTGGTGAAGATTCCATGTTAAAGCAAATATTTGAAAAGAGTGGAATAAGCCACCACAATTTTTAATTAGAGTTTTACTACAAAATCTTTTCTAGTGATGAGGAGCTGGGTTTTTCCCTTTTCTTATTTTGCTTTGGGAGAATCAGATAATTAATTTGAAAGCAGGAAAGTAAACTGCTCAGTGCAAAAACTACACTGGGAAAGGTAATTGCTTGAAGCAATTAGGGTATTAATTTTCACTTTACTCACATTAGAGAAAGGTAAAAATCTGTTGTACTTTCAAGGTTCGACTTTGCCATCGAGGATACCAACTATTGAGTACTGAAACTCTTTAATTAATTCAATGGATCCTTTTCATTCTATTCCACAGCAGAAAGTGAAATTATACACATTGACTACTATTAAGCATACGACAGAATATGCCAGAGCAAACCGATTTACCCAGATGTATATTTTTTTCCAACAACTGACCCGAAAAACCCAATTTTCTTTTATTAAGAAAAAACAGACTTAAAAAATCCGCAGCAATTAATAAAACAGGAATGGAAAAATGGAAAGCAGAACAGACGCGATTTATGGTTACCTGTGATGAAAGATCAGGCGAGAGTCCCCCAGTTTCAGTCGATTCATATTCCGGGATCGAATGCAAGGTCCCTTTTCTCGTAGGCTTCCTCCGGAAACTGACCTGAAGAGTCTTTGTCAATATGATGGGGGTGCCCAAGAAACAACCAGCGACATAAACCTCCAAATTAGGGGGAGGCAATCCATGCTCAATTCCTCCCCTCAAAAAGCTCGAGCTCCCGACTATCTCAGACTGGCAATCCATGCTCAATTCTTTTCCCCCTCTTTTCTTCGTCTCCCCCATTAAACCTCCACCGCTGTTGCCATTATTATTATTATTGTTATTGATAACATTATTATTCGGATTGGAATTTCCATTAGAGAACTCTATGAAACCAGAGAGGAGAAGATCATCCCTATCATAGACCTCGAATCTGACACTCCCAGTCATTCGAACACAATCGGTGCTCACAAATGTTGCTTCCTCTGATTGTTTATCGACTCGATCCCTTCTCAGGAGGACAGAGACCTCCTCCGAGGAAACACTCCGACCCCCATTAACCTCGATGAGGGTCTCGGCGCTCAGTGGGAGGTGTTTCAGGGTTAGGTGCTCAGGAGGGGGGCTATCGAATTCGCAATTGCTAACCCTAACGTAGAAGACTCTGAGCACCAAGCCTGAGGAGCTCAAGCCTGAGAATTGGAAACCAGAGGAGGAGTGCCTTACCAGTTTCCTGTTCCCTGAATCAGCCAGGGCGGCTGATTCTTCCTCGTTCCCCATTTGCAGGAGTGATCAATCCTCCTCCCTACAAAGCTGGTCCTCCCATGCAAAATCCAATTGATTTTGACAAAAGCCAAACCCTAGGCAAAGGAATCCAATTCCAAAAATTCATGGAATTTTTGTGTCCTTCAACTCCTGCAACATTAGCACTGTGATCAAAGAGAGATCCCAGACACGTTCGGTTAAGCAGCAGAGGCAAGGACACAGGACATGGCAAAGTTCAGAGGAAGAGAGAGAGAGAGAGAGAGAGAGAGAGAGAGAGAGAGACGACTTATAGAGAGAGAGAACGGATTTATAGAGAGGGAGAGAGGGAATGAGCCTTATCTCGGAAACAGAAACCGCACCCAATCAAGCACTCTGGAGATCATGGATGAGAGAGAATGTATATATATATATATATAGGGCGGAAATTTTTAGAGCTCGCGTACCTATCAGAGAGGAAAAAGGTTTATATAATAGGCCGAGGCCCTAAACAATCAAATTAAGGTGAAAAAAAAAAAATTTAAATTTCAAAATCTTGGATCTTATAACGTATTTTTGGATTGTTAATTTTTAAGATTATTAAATATTCATAGATCTGGTCAATCCATAATAATTTAACAATTTTAAAACTTATAATAAAAAATAAAAACAAAAATTTAAATTATCACAAACAACATCTTTGATTGGTATTTGATAGATTAAAGAGAGATACATGTGGTAGATTAGAATGGTTTTTATTTGGTTATGGTTTAGGGTTTGAGGTGGCCGGCGCGCATGCCGTGTGACACGCCTCCAAAAACCAAATTTAGAGAGAGAAAAACTAAGAGAGAGATAGACACGTAACGTGAATATGGGACAAAGGTTTATGTGCATAATAATAAAAAATGAATAAATACTCCTCGTTTTTTTCCTCCACTTCTCTCAGTCTTTTTTCTCTCTTTTTTTATTTATAATATATATATATATATATATATATATATATTTTTCTCTCCATTTCTCTTCTTTCCTCCACTTTTATGAATGTACAAGCGAACCAGTAATTTAAAACTCGAATATGGGTGAATCGTTCACCCAAATATTCGTGTTAGATCCATTAAGAGACAATAATGTCTTTGTCTAAATTATTTAGGTTATTCTTTCATTTTATTTACATATTTCTTAATGTCTACTCAAAATAATAAAAGCCATAACATTATTGTCAACTCACACGGTACAATCACGGCATCTATAAATAATATATAATCAAAATAAATTCAATGGCTTTCCATCATTGTTACCTCTTAATTTTCAAATTGTCCATTTACTACAAATCCCTTTAATGGGTTAGCCATGCAGGGGGTGGGAGATGTGAAGGATCTCATGTTTTTCTAAAAAAATTCAGTATTTATTAATTAATTATATGAATGTAAGGACTTGTTTTTTATAGATAAATTATATATGAAAAAAATAAAAATAAATTACAAACACTTAAAACATACCCAGACTTGCCATAAATACAAGATATTATACCTATTATTCTCATATCTACTAATTACAATATATACCTTCCATATCAGATATAGTTTCCTTTCGCAAAAGAAACTCTTTGGAGCGGTTGTTTTACCCTACAAATCTAAATAAGAATAAGAAGAGAAAATAATGAATGTAAGAAAAGAAGGAAATAGAAAAAGACAATTACTATGCCTGGCAGGCCCACATGAGCTACTCAGTGTGACGATTGGTAACTCGGCACGGATATAAACTTTTACCAATAGAAAATACAGGGGGAAAAGAAAGCTAAAAGGAATATGATTAGGCAAAAGTCGTAAGAAACAGAAAAAAATAGTTGGAATAATCTTAATGTGATTGTAGAAGGAAAAGAGAAAATGGAGCATGTTTATCTCCCAACTTTCTTTCTTGATTTTTGGTTTCTTTCCACTTTTGTGGGGGGATAAGCTGGATTTTGAAACCCAGGCATTATTGATTGGTCCTCAAAAAGTTTTAATTCCTTTCTTTTTACCATTCCATTTTCTCCTACATTCTAGCAAAAAATTGATTTAGAAAATAGCCAAAAAGATGGAGCAATAATCCATTGGATGCCCACAAAATGCCGGCTTGGCAATAAATATTTTTTTAAAATATAATTTGTTCCTAATTTTAGGAGAATATATAATCTTTAACATAAAGATCATGAATATAAAAAAATAAACAAATTTTAAAAACTAGAAATAATTTAATTACAATTATTTTTTGATGGACGACTTATTTGCATCCATCTTTGAGATGGATGCTTTATACTTTTGGGCTGCAAAATTCGGTCAAGCTCGCATAAAGCAATCATTCTAATCTATTTATATATTTTTTCTAAAGCAATTAAGTGCGAGTGTGTCGATCATGTCAAGATTATATGGTTTACTAGATGGTAAAATCAATGTTGTCAAGACTGGACCAAATCAACCAATCCAACTGAATCGACCGGGTTTAGTCAATCAACTGAAAAACAAGAATAAGATATGATCGAAAAATAATTAAAACCATTGTTTTAGTTACTGATAAGACCAGCTAATAAAAATTCTTCCTATTTTTCTTTATTCTTTAAAAATCCTTGACAGCCCCAACCACTGGACAACTCCTAAGTACGTTTGTTAGAGTGATCAAATTACTTGGAAACAAAAATTTCATATGTATGCATATGAAGTAGAGCCCTGCGCTAGTTATCATGTCCATGTCCGTGTCCGTGTCCGTGTTCTACTTGGAATAGCCAGTGCTCAAACTATATTTACAAAAGCAGAGCAGGTGCATAGAGCTTCCATTCCCATTGTTAACAAGTGAAAAAAAAATTGCAGTTCAGAGCTAACCATTTTAGCTGCAATGGCAGAAGCAGACCAGACTTGCTCCCTAATGAAGTAGAACACATCTCGGAGGGGTCCAAATACAATGTTCCTTGAACTACCCAAAAGCTTGCCTCACAAAACAAAGCGAGGGGAAAGTAAGACATTGTATTCCACTTGGATACTCAAACGCTTATTTCTCATTAAAAGTAGACTTCGATGATTAGTGTTGATTCGCACTTTGACTTTCTGCGATATAAATGACAAAGGGTGTGTTTTGTAGAAGGTTGAGGCCCTAAACAATCAAAAGTAAGGTGCACCTTTAAATAATGTCAAAAGATGATTTTTTAGTAGTAAAAATATTTGGCATGAACATTTAGTCTCCTTTTTAATTATAAAATTTCAAGCTTCAAAACTATTGTAGATCGAGAAAATCTATAAACACTTAAAAACATTGAAAATTGACGGCCCAGATAATGCATTACAAGATACACAATTTTCTATACCCGAAATCCATTTTTTTCTCACATCTATAGATCTCGATATCAAGATGATCGATATGAGGGTTTTTTGACATCGAAACAACTTCTTCTAGTATTTTAACTTCATCGAAAAAGTATTGTATGAATTATGCTTTATCTAACTATATAGAAGATGTCCTTTCTATTTCTTGTCTTTATTAGTTGGCATTATTATTTTTATTTAATAGCATCAAGCTACTTTTGTTATTTATAAAAAAAAGAATAAACTTTCACTCCTAATGTGAATAATTTTTGTCCAAACGAAACTAGAAAGCTTTTCATGTAAGGTTTGGAATGAATATGTTAATTCTTGAAAGAATATGTTACATGACAAAAATATCTTCAAAAAATATCCTAAGATATTATCATGTTCAGGATCATAGTATTCAAATATTAATTTATAAAAAATTATTTCAATTTTTTTTGGTAAGATACATATATGTAATAAGTTATTATACACTTAATCTAAGTATTTTTATTTTTTTAGGAGTTTTTGACTCATTTTTTTTTAAAAAATCTACTTGACCGGTTAGTATGGTTAACCGCCCTGGTTAGTCCGGTTTCGATTCAAACCGCTCCCAACCCCATGTCCAGTTAACCGTTCTGGTTTCGATTTTGCAAACGTTGGCCTCAATTTGATTTGATTGTTTGGGGCCTAGCCTTATATAAACATTTTCCAATAACAAAAGGGAAAAATTTATATAGAGCTTAGGCTCTAAAGAATCAAATTAGAGCCTACCTTAAAACTTTCACTAGAAGAAGTTGTTTTGATGCCCAAATATCATCAAATTGATCATCTCGACATCAAGATGCATGAACATGAGAAAAAAATGGATCTCAAGTTTTGGAAATAGTGCTTTTTATAATGCATTTTTGGATCGTCAATTTTCAAGATTTTCAAGTTTTCATAGATCTGCTCAATCCACATTATTTTTTAAGCTTTAAATTTTATAACTAAAGATGAAAATATAATTTAAGCTTTCATAAAACTTTCCAGTATTGAAATCATATTTCTCGACACTTTTTGAAGGTGGGCTCTAATTCGCAACCCGCAACCATAACAAAAGGCGCACAGACATTAAAAAAAATAAAAATAAAAAAATAAAAAAAAAAATTAAAAAAAAAAAACAACTTTTGAACGACCAAAGAGAAGTCAACACGCGTCAGTCATCGCCGATGCACAAAATGTCCTAAAACCCTATGAACTTCGCCTACAAAATTTTAAGGCGAAGTCAACATCTAAGTAGGCTTTTTCCTTAATCCCCAAGCCATTCATTTCTCTATCTAATCAGGAAATCCAAGATCTGAATAGAGCGCACAATACGACAACAATTTGCATGATTGTCTCTTGGCCACTAACAAGGATCCCGACCGATTACTTCGTCTGATTTTGAAATCTTTTAACTTTTAATTTTCAAATTTTTATTTTTTTATTGAATTTTATTTTTTTGACTCAAAAAATAAGGTCTCAAATACTACATGAGTAGATATATAGAAATCCAAATCTGACGAACCGCTCATGTCAAATAAGATTGGCAATTTGCTGACCAATTTCCCTAATAGCCAATTCACCTAGCCGATCCAGGTTTTAAAATATTGATAATGCTGATTAATAATATGTGGTCTAATTATTCGCGTTATATAATTAGTATCGTACTACTAATTTTGTAAAAGAAACATTGGATAATAATGCCATCAGTCTTACTTCTTGGCTTTGTATGTGTATAAGTGCACTTGTAATTTGAATATTGTACTTATTTAGTGAAGTAAACATCAGAGTAAAATTACAGAGAGCTTTTCCCCCTTACTTCCTTTTTCTTCGTTGCTTGTGGAAATTGACATATTTGTGAGCTCCTGCCGATTGCCATTTCCCAATGCAATTTTCATTTTTTGAGCTCTTCCACTCTGACCCGACCCAAAAATTTAAATATCTATATATTTAACTATATTTAAATATACTTTATATATTGGGACCTGAAAAAATAGTATCGAACCCGATTGGACATGGATCCATACCCAAATAGCATTCAGGTCAAAGATTTGGACCCTAGACCTCGGGTCTAATTTTTGAACCCATACCTGAATACAAATC